ACCTATTTCCTAAATTTTCATACGAATTAGAGGGACGATACCGATTTGATTTGGAATCTTTTTTTAAAAAAAACAATTAAATTATATTTTTTTGCTGCCTGGCTGGCACCAGAAAATTTTATTTTTTAGAGATATTTAATATATATTATTTTTATGCTTTAAATCATTAAATAAATACTCGAAAAAATGGTTTTAATATAAATTAAATATAATAAAATAAAATAAATGTGGCATTGAAAATATTCACGCTTACCACTAAAAAAATTTTGGCCCGACCCGCCCCGAAAGGCAATATTTTGTTTCACGCCCGAAAATTCACGGTGTTTTTAAATTTTTCAAAACTTAATCCTATAATTTTTTACAGCTATATAAAAATATGTAAAAATATATAAAATTACTAAATAAAAATATATATTGGTCCTTAGCCTTTTTTAAAAAAAAACATTTTGATAATCTCAACTTAAAATATGTTCGTTGTTATAAATAATTTAGTTTTAACAATCTCTAAATGAGTCTAACCTTATTTGGCTCAACCTAAAGATACATAGTATTTTTCCTAATTCATACTTGATTTTTAAAAACGGCATCCAGAAAAATAAACCATAATAGTTTTTTATATACTGAACCGTAACCAAACTGAACCGTTATAAATAACAGTTCGGGTCCCTTCTTAAATGTTCAACAAAATGCCATATTACATTGAATAATTGTTGCAATAATTCGGATTTTTATAAATATATTTTTTAATATTTTTTAAAACAAAAAAGTCTTAACCTCATCCCTTTTCATTCATTATATGCCTTAATTTTATGCTATTTACTTTTTTTTAAATTCTCTTTTTAAATCCCTTATTTTGGCCTTTTAATTATATGGTGCCAGCCGTAAAAAGAGAGAAGAAAAAGTAATTTTTTTTTTTCAAAAATATTTTTAAAAAAAGATCCCGAATAAAACGTGGGGATTTAAGATCTTGAATCCCCACGTTGGGATACCGAATCCCACATGATTCCATATCCCAATACGACATATATATAATTTATTTATTATTGCACTTTAATAATATAACATTTCGGTACTGCCATCCCCAAGTCTAGAGCGACGATCAGAAATATAAGCTTTGCCATACTAAATAATCGTTCAGCACTAGTACTTGAGGGCAGCGCAGTATTAAATTTAATAAACACACTTTTTATATGAAAAAAATTATCAAAAATATTTAAATGAGTTTTTTAGATTTAAAAAAAGCATCTAGAGGTTCAATAATATTATTATTATTTCAAAAAAATCCTCTATGTAAGGCCGCGGTTTCGATCTTGCTATAGTATTAGTATCGTGGTTAGGCATGGCATTTTTTAACGTTTCAAGTTGCCTTTTAGATTCAGTCAAATTAATGTATGGCCAATTTAATTTAAAACTAGGATGAACGATAGCAGCTATTACATTATCATCATCATACAGATCTGAAATCTAATTTATATAAAGCGATTGTATTTATTATAAAAAAAGTATACCTTTTTAATTTTCAAAATTTAAATTTATCTGAGATTTAGATTCATTTTAAAAAAATATTAAAATAGCATTAAATTATGGTAAATAAAGATTTAAAAAAATATAATTATTATACACAAGGTAATTAATAATATATTAATTTTGAATTTTATATTAATACTATATATTAATTGTTAGTTGGGAAAATTTGAATTGGGAGATTAGAACCTAAATATAAAATATAAATATATACTAAAATTATAGTTTTGAATCCTTTTTTAAATACTAATACCAAAAAATAATTATAAATTATATAAATTAATTTTAGGGAATACATAACCAAAAAAAATAAAAAAGTAAAAGTATAAAAATAATAAAAATTATATGCGAAAAATTATGTGAAAGTAAAAAAAATTAAAAAAAAGTGGAAGTGCTTTAAATTATAAAAATTGTGTATTTTATATAAAATTAACATCATCCCTAAAATTTCTTCTCATTATAATGAACTTTACATCATTATTAAAAAATTTATATCAAACAAAACCAAATAACTTTAAAACCTTCATAATATAATACTCGTTTAACAATGTACATTTTCAAATTCAATTTTATATAAAAAAATTATTTTTCGTAAATATTCAAAATTATAAGCAAATCGAAATAATGCAATCACAACATTAATATTATAGTTGTGTTGTAAATTAAGCCAATTTAAATTATGGCTAATCTAGCAATAAATTATTCATTTTATATATTGTATAATAGAAAATAAAAATAAAGTTTTGTCCTTTTCTCAATGCCTTTTAGCATAGACTCTTTGGCAAAATTTTAGATTATTGATTCTTTTGAGCTTGGCAATTAATATACTTAGTGTGGGAACATAATATCCCATGCTCATATTATCTTGCCCTTCCTAGATTTTAAGTGAGGATTTTGTAAGACATATGGAGTTCTTAAATAATATTTGCTAGAATGTCATAAGTCTGACAGCCAATTATTTTTTTTAGAGCTAATGCTACAGATTTTTGTTTTAGATTTTTTGGATCAATCCAATGTGCGGTCACTCCTAAATATGCTCTAGAATATCATATTATAAATCAGAAAATAAACATTTTTACCTTCTATTGTGCGTCCAGCAATCTGCTGTTGTACAGATATAGGTGACATCTGATAGATTAAATATTAAAAATTCTATCATTCTTTAAAGCTATATAAAATTCTTGCTATCAATATCTGTCGGCAAAATATCTTGGTACGTGGAGAAAAAGTGTTTGTCATCTTAATAAAAGAACCATTATCCACCAAGGATGTTGACATCCTGGGTTGATGAATCAATGTCTAATTTTGTCTGAATTAAATTTGATTTGGAAGTGGATATATTTTCTTCCATTACCCCAGGACTTTTTAGATATTTTTCAGTCTCTTTATAATTTGAGGTGTGAACAGTCAAAAATTATAACAGTAATACTCAAAATAAAAATTATGTAGGAGATAAGTACATAAAAATGATTGAAATAACTATTTTAAAATATTTTAAATAATTTAGATAAAATTTATTAATATATTAGAAAAAATGATAGGTCTTTGATTTAAATTTATTTTAAAAATTAAGGATTAGCCTACACATTGATATTAAATTTGTTTAATATATTACCTTTAAATGTTTTGTCAAATTAAAGCTGCTTGTATGATTTGAGGATAAAATTTTGCGACACATCTTGCATCAAAACCGATATCTAGTAGTAATTTTTTCTTCAAGATTAAAGTATTTTTTGAATTTTGGAAAAGGATAATCTATATTTTTCTCATTTTCCAAAGAAATTTCGCTATCCTCAACAATCTCACACATTTTTAATACTAAATTTATAATGCTAACTAGATTTATAATGTTTTTTTTAAATATAAATTTAAATTTCAAACTTAAATTAAATAAAAGGATTATAATTTAGATTTAATAAAAAAATATATTTTAATAATTTTTAGATGTATTTATTATGTAAAATGATCTACTTCGCTACTTTCTAAATTAGAAGCGAGCTACCGCTATCGCTATTTTCTAAAAAAAGTAGCCCGCTAAAGCCACCGCTACTGAAAAAAGTAGCGCGCTACGTAGCCCGCTATTTAACAACACTGCTATTTTCTTTTATATTTAATATCTTAATTTTTTTATTTTACAAAATAAAAGGAAATTATATGAAAATAAGCTACAATTCTAAAATAAAGACGTATAATTTAAATTAGAATATACCCTCCATTTATTTTTCACAAAAGTTTGACTTTATAAATTTTTATTTGACTTTTGACAGTAGACATTTTCAAAATTGTAAAAAAGATCTGGGCTCGTTTTTCACCAGAAATAAGCTTACCTAGATTAAACAAACGTTTTACGTGAACCCCTTGATGTAAGTTTAACCTCATATTTATACGCAGTTATTTTAAATTGGCAAACATCATTAAGATGATGAGATTCGGTTGCCAAATCTCAGAAACGGCAAATTTTTAAAAAAGTAATCAAAATTAATTAATAGTTCGCACAAATTTTTTTTTAAAAATAAATGGAGTGTTGAAACTCGATTTGTAAATTTCAATAATAGTAAATTATTATATTTTAAACATATTTTTTGATAGGTAAATATTTAGATATTTTAAAACGAAACTTGAAAAATAATTAGTTACTTTGTCGTTCCATTCCAAGAAATTTAACCCATTAAATAATTACAAATTATAATTTTTTAACTTAGCAGTTTTTCGAAAAAATTTTGTCTTAAAAACACTAGTGGAGACCGGGGAAGAGATTAGACCGGAGTAGGTCGGCACTTTATATTCTATTCTTAAAATACAAAATTAAATTTTTTTCATGGAGGTGACATATCCTTCGAAGACACTTGCATATTCTGAATCAGCTATTTTTAAAATTGTTTATTTATTTAAAAAGATATTTACCATAATTATGTTCAGAATATTTTTATAAAAACCTTTTGGAAGTGAACGCAATGAATTTTTTTATCAAATTACACTTTAAATGGAATGACAAGGGATAATTAGCCTAAGAATATAATTTTTGGTTTTAAAACAATATTAAAATCTTTTATTATCACCCTTGACAAATTCACTATGGTTTATTAATTTTTTTTAGAATGCACTTTTTTCAAAGTGTTAATAAATCATTTATTAAACCCTACAAATCAAATCGAGTAATTACGATAAATAATTTTTAGTTTATAGTTTAATAATAATATGTAATGTATTATAATTTAGATTATATCACAAAAAAAATACATTTTTTGTGTAATGTAACGTAAAACATTTTTAATATATTATTCTATTTTATTCCCTTCTTTCCTAATGCTTTGGGGGAAGGTAAATTAATTCTTACACCAATTAAAAAATAATTGACTATTGTAATTTGAAATAAGTTATAAAAAATTAATATCTTTACTTAATAAATATTTTTTATAATTGATAAGATATAAAAACCGAATATAATTAATGTCACTTTATTTATTTTATAAATAATGAGATTCTTTAAAAATATCCACTTTCATCCTGCATCTCAGAAGAATAGTCAAACATCCGGTGACGATATCGAAATACAATCGCCTAATCAAGAAAATGGCTTAGCCGAATCTGTTCTCAAAACCAGATTCAAACGAAAAAAGAGTTTTTTTATTCCCCCGGGATTCATAAAGGAAAGCAACAAAAGCTTGAAAAGTATATATAGCCGTGATTATGACTCGCAGGACAGGGAATCAACTACTGTAGTCTCAGATGAACAAATCTTACAGACGTCGCTTAAGCATAAAAATAGATTGAAGATATTCCAATGGCTAGATGCCTACCACCATCGAAGCTTAAAAAAAATTTCTAACGATTCTCCTGGAGAAATGGAAGCATTCCTACCCAAGAAGATTCGTAAAAGATTGGTTAACAAATCAGGAACTTGCAATGTGCTCCATTCACACATACCTAAGCTGAGTCAGCACTTTTTGTCAGATATTTACACTACTGTGTTAGACAGCAAATGGCGTTGGTCCGTGGCCATTTTCACAGCTGGTTTCCTTGGAAGTTGGCTATGTTTCGCCTTTATTTGGTGGCTCATCCTTTTTTCCCACGACGATTTCGACAACATATCTAACCCGAATTGGAAACCCTGTGTCAAAAACATAGAATCATTTGCTGGTGTTTTCTTATTCGCGGTAGAGACCCAACACACTATAGGGTATGGATACAGATACCCGACGGAGGAATGTCCCGAAGCTATAATAGTTTTTATTCTTCAATGCATAACAGGGGCCCTCGTACAAGGATATATAACGGGCATGATGTTTGCCAAACTTTGTCGACCTAAGAAAAGAGCCGCTACTCTCATGTTCAGCAAAAAAGCCGTTATTTGTACTCGTGATGGTCAACTGTGTTTGTGCGTACGTATAGGTGACATGAGGACGTCCCATATGATTGGAGCCCACACTAAGTCTTACATGTTCAGGAAGAAAATTACTCTGGAAGGTGAAGTTATTCATCTTAAACCTTACGTGATCCAAGTGGGAACAAATCCTCCTGATGATAACGTTTTTTTAGTGTGGCCAGTTATTGTTAGTCACATAATTGATAATCAGTCACCCTTTTACGACATGGGAGCCGAAGAGTTGAATAACGAACATTTCGAAATGGTTTTCATATTTGAGGGAATGATAGAAGCCACGGGAGCCACAATGCAAGCTAGGACTTCCTATTTGCCTCGTATGGCATTTATATATTATTTGTTGCTTTAAAACGAATAAAATAGAAATTAAAAATTTTTTGGTTTTAATTTTATTTATTAAAGCTTATTTACAAAACTATGTTAAAAAAAGAAAATAAAAAACATATAATCTATTTAAAACATTTCATATACATTAAAATTATATTAAATTTAAAAAATATTAAATTTAAAAAATATTTTTAAAAAAGCATATAAGAACGGGAAAAACAATGTAGAAGAGGCCGGGGTTATATTGTCCATAAAAAAAATTGAAGTGCTATAAAAAATAGGTGAAGAAAATTTTCCAGAATACTTGAACATAGTTTTCTTCTTACATATATATCTAAAGGAATTTATATTTAAAAAAAATCTTTTAATTTTTTTATTAATATAAAATTTTTTAAAAAAATGAAAATTTAAGAATTATGAAAAACACCCTGGGTACCTATTATACTTTCGCTTTGAGTGACATAGCGCTTCTTTCTCTTATTTTTAATATAAAAATGTTAATCCTAAGTAAATGAAAGTAAATTGTCAAATATGTTAAATTTACCAAGTTCATCTATATTATATAAATCTCTCTGAAGAACCTTTTTTCATTTAAACCTGTCATAATCTACATAAGTCAATCATCTTCACATTTATGGCCCTAGATAAACTAGTGGCTCCTTTTGTTCCTATAAATTTAGTTAGATTTTTTTTATTCAAAATAATCCCAGCTTAAAATAATCCCAGCTTAAAATAAACCTGCCAAAACCTGCCCCGCCCCTTCACAATTTATTAAAATTTAATTTCAAAATATTAAATTACCATATTGTCAATATTTATACATCATAAAATTGTGTTTATTTTATTATTTAGAATTGATATCTATTATGAGTAAAAATTATAAAATGTAAAAAATTAAAATTTACTTTTGACGTGTTAAAATTTAAAGTTTCATTTAAAATTTCTCGTGAGCAATTATGGGTGAAACATTTTTGGACCTACTTATAACTATAAAAATACGAATCGAATTGAATCAAATATTTGCATTATTCGTGTTAGATTTGTATTTTCGGATCGAATAATTGTATTATATATATTTGTACTTATCGAACAATTCCTTATTTGCATTCGCACGAATAATAAAAACAATTCGATTTGATTAGTCAAATATTCGATTCGAAAATTAAATTCTATAAAAAAATGAAAACATCAATGTATTAAAAAATCTTTAATTTTTTTTGAATGAATCTCTGAATATTTTTTTTAAAAAAATTGTGATTTCATCTTTTTTGTGCATGAAAATTATAAAAGGTTTACTTATAATAACAGATTTTTTTTATTAAACATATTTTGGACTTTAAAGTAAAATTTTATCAAAAATCTTTCCTCTTTAAAATAATTTTAAAATATTTTTGCTCACGTTTGTCAAAATATGAAAAATTAGTGATTAAAATTTGATAAATGATTAATAGATGTAGAATTAGTAAAAATCAAATACATGTTACAAATAATTTTGAATATTTATGAAATAGTTTAATATTTACGAATAGTTTCGAAATAATGTCGAATATACATGATAAATTTGGAATAATATGAAAAAATCAAATTACACGAATAATTTTGAATAATTCGATCGAATAATGGATGAAAAATTATTTGACCAATAATATATTTTCCAATGCGAATCGAATTGAATAATGTTTAATTCGTTTTCGGTGTATATGCTTAAGTGCCTTATTAAAATACATATTTGGCTTAAATTTTAATCTCAAAATTTCTTAATTTTTAAATTAATTGAGAAGTAATTACCTAAGCCGAAATAACACTATCCCCGATCACCCCTATTAAAAAAAGAAGACTCTCATTGACAAACCGTTCGCTCTTTTTCAAAATTATTTCCTATAATTAAGCAAATGTATGTCGGATTTACCCTCCTTTTCCTTGTGTAAAAGTTAACAATTTTTTTTTCACTTAATTAGGTAAACTTGATTTTACATTTAAATTAATGGCCAAATTTTATGTATTTCTATTCCAAGTTTTCCAAAAGGTCGTAGGCTATCTTTTTTTCTATAAACTAAAGTCTTTAATTCGTTCGAAACATGACTCCAGGTCCAGGGGACTGAGATAAGAGGAAGGGGTTATTAAGAAAATTTTATACATTTTTGGTACAGAGTCACTTTAAGACTTATTGAACTGCGCAACTATTCTACCCATACTTAGTGGATTCATAAAAGCTTAATGCATCATTTAAATTTTTTTCCATGGAATAATTTTCTCGATATAAAAACATCTTTTGAAAATATTTTATTTTTAATATACATAAATATCGTCTGCATTTTGAAATTCTATAATTGTGTTTGAAATAAGATCTCAAAATATGCTCGCCTTTACTTTATAACTTATGAATATTGGAAAATTTTGAGACTTCAGTAAATAATGGGACCCCATCTAGCTAGTTTGTTGAAAAAATTAATAATTTCTTTTTATCTCAATTTTCTTATTAATCATTCAATCTTCCAGATATTATTTGAGGATATTAAGTTTGAATACATTCTTTAATAACATTTAAATGTTCATTAAAAAACCAATGGGGCGCGTTTTAAAATTAAAAAAATTTTAAGACGTGATGTTTTTTTGTAACTAACCGTTTACATTTAATGGCACCATTTAATTTATATCCTTACTCTATTTACAGATCGCGCGAATTCGCGGCGAAGTATACAAAATATGCTGAATTCTTCGTCTGTGAATTCAGGGTTACGCTGCATTTATAGTGAGCGCGATTCGCCCCGATGCGAAATTTCTTGCCATCTTATTTTCATAATCTGGCCAATAATAGGTATAATTTAAAAATACGGAACGAATTGATTAAATTGCAATAGAAGTTTAAGTATACTTCAAAAAGTATTATAGCTGCGATAGCTGTGATTTTGCTAGCGATTAATTTCACATTGCTAGAATAAATCGTGCTTACTATAAATGCAGCGTTTGTAAATATTTTTTATACATTTTATATACGTTTCAAGACGAAATTTTATGGGGATATAGATTTGAGCGTTTAACTCGTTTTATCACGGAAACTGGTAACCTAGCTATCAATTATACTCGATTTCACAGCGTTATATCAGTCAACATACCCCGATGCAGTTCTAGGACTTTAGAATCTTTAAGAAAGAAATTTTTTGAAGAGGAAGAAAGATTAAGAGAAAAATTATCATCCGAAAGCTTCACGGAGAAAGAAAATGAAAGAGCTGAGACATCGGAATTAGTTATGCTTCTCAAATCGACACTGGAAAGATTGGATAAGTTGGAGGCTAAAGATGACCATCTACTTCTAGGAAAATAATCTCTAAAGATGTTTATTAATAAATTGATATATTTTAACTCTCTTTAAATAATTCCTATTAAATAAATGTCTCAATCAGAATATAATTTATAATTGATCTCCCTTATATGTTTATCTTTCTTATATTTTCTATTTTTTATTTAAGTAGAAATATATTGTTCACTAACGGTTATAATTTTTATTTATCTCTCATATAAAAACAAAATAGTTTACAAAATTTTATATACTAGTTTCGTCTTGCATTAAATAATATTATTGGAATGAAAATATTTCTTAATTCAGTATATTTTAAAATCGATTCGATATTTAACTAAGTACCTAATTTTTGTTAAATTTGTAAATATATTTTTTTTATACTTAAGTCCTAAAGTTAATAAAGCCAGCTTAAGAGTCCGTGGGGCATGTGGGTCGCATTTTATTTGGGCCAGACTTAGATTGTGTTATACCTAAAATGCATTTTATTTAGACTTAATTTCGTATGGATATTTTTTTTAAGCAAGTAAAAAATATAAATTTTGATTTTAATAGAAAATTGCAAGTTGAACAGGAAAAAAAAACCATTAATTGAAAATGACTTTTTTATTAAAATAAATTTTTTTTTAATAATTAATTGATTATTTTAAAGAAAGAATCTGATATGTTTGTAAATTTAACTTGGCTATTGTAAAATAGCTCAGAGATTCTATTAACGTAAGCTATGACTGATTTATAATTTGTTATATCCTTTGTTTAAAAAAAAGGATTAGTAGAATAGAGAGTCCAGTTTTTAGAAGTTAAAAAATTGGAAACTATAATAAATATGGGTTTTTCCCAAAAGATATAATATATATATAACTAATTTATTCTTATATTGATCACAAAGGAATGAAATCTCACGTCCCTCTTACCAGTAATAAATTATTGATTGACATAATATTGATATTCGATATTTATAAATAATTTGATTGTCATACGATATTAGATAAAATTAAATATAATGTAAAACTACAAATTTATTAGATAAAATTAAATATAATGTAAATCTACAAATCTCAGACAGTCAAAAGTGTCGACGTGATCAAATGTCACTTAATTATTGTAAAATTAACTATTTCAAGACGACTCTAGAACAGTGTCCCAGGCTTTAGCCAATATTTAGCTTAATATCGAACTTAAATCCAATTTTCTTTTGCCTAATCTCTAAAGCAGAGCCAAATTTTTTGGTAAGGTTCCAGGTAGTGTTGTCGAAATCCTCAATTTAAGCACTTTTTAAAAATCGACTAAATCAAGATTTTAACCCAAATAATATTACTCAAGCCTCGATATTTGGTCAGAAAAGACCAAACCTTTCTGCTATCTATATGCGATATCCCAAGGCTTGGGGGGTAATATTTTTTCGCCAAAATCTTGACTTAATCGTTTATTTTTAAGTGCCTAAAGTTAAACAGAGGTTTTTGACAACACTGTAAGGTAATTTTTTGGCTTAACCACGAGGTTCTAGATTTTTTTTTGGCTTCAAACTAAGGGTCTAACCAGAATTAGTTAAAGCTTGAAACAGTGATATTTGAATATTTAGAAATGTAGTTCATATATTAAAAAATAAAACTTAAATTATAAATTTTAATGACAAAATTCTTTATGATTATACTGCCGTATGATAAAAATTTGTTTTATTGTCATCTACTCTAATCCTTGATTTTTTGTAAAATGAGATGTAACTTAATTAATAAATCTTTAAAAAAAAATTCACTGAAATAGCAAAGGAATAATGATTGAGGAGTGGCAGGACATTACATCTAGGTGAAATATTAGTTTTCTTTTTTTCACGCTTTTAATTAATGGCATAAATATCAAACTTCCCGCCAAATTATATATTTATATATATTTAAAAAAACTAGAAAGGCATTAATCAAGTTTTATTTATCATAAAAACATTATTTATAATAATACAGTGAATAATTCTAAATATGTAGATATATTAGTGATATATTTAGAAGGTTATTTAAAGGGATATTTGACCCTCCCAAATTAGTTTCCTTTTTTAAAAAATTTTGAATTTATATGACCCCCCCCCCCCTCCTCAAAATAAAATCATGGATACCCACTATTATATTATAAAATGTAAATAAAGTATATTATATATTTAATAATCATATTAAAATATAAATCATTCAAAAACAATTTTAAATAAAATGCACCGTCTTATATTTGAAATTCAATTTAGCATATTTCATTGGCTATCATGTATACCACTTCAGACCTCATCACATTTCTTGAAATTTCTTTGTAAACGTATATAGAACCCTTCCGGCAAGATATCTCTTCTAGGGCTATTTGCAATCCATAATTGAATTACAGCGACCAAATGCTTTGGATAAAATTTTGAGTCAGAAACGATCGATCCATTAATAACTTTTTTAGTATTATATATTATACCGTCTTCTTTTTGGGTGATTATAGCCTTTAAATTAATAGTAAAAAGAAAATCAAACCTGAAATCAAATTAGATCTTCATAAATTTTGTTCTCGTAACAATATTAAATTGCCGACATAAAATTTCTTAAGAAGAGACTAATGGAATAAAATTACTCTTAAAATCTCAAGAATAGGTTTATATGCCCTATATATCAGCAGAGACCTGAAGGCCCGCCCTGCACTGGGTGGGTTGAATTTAATTTTTTTAAATATACACGTGGGCCTAAAAATTTTTTAAAAAATCCGGGCCGGGCCGAAAATCTGCAGGTCTCTGCTATATATTAAGCATGAAATCTATAAATTTATTGAATATATTAATAAAGATATTCAAATTTTAGTAAATTATACAAATCAAAATGAAGGCCACTCTAATATCCGAGAAAATTTTTTTTTATAAAAGTATAAGTTTTGTAATTATATTATATGTTTTCATGATTTGTGTCTGCTATTGTTTTCTTTTTAAAATATTTAAGTTATATTTTTATTGAATAATACGCCGTTATCTAACTCTTTTGAACGAAAAAACCCCAAATTCTTAAATTTTATAAAGAAAGGATTTTCATGACAAAATATTTTCTGAAAATACTAATGATTAATTTTAATATTTTATAATTTTTATGCAAAAATCTTTCATCACAATTTTTTTATACTCTGGTTCTAAGTAATATGTGTTGTGCTGAAATAAACCAGTAGATAATATTTGGGCCTTATTTTAAAAAAAATACATAGTCACACATCTGACTTTAAAAAAATGTGATTTGTTAAAAAGGGTTAAATATTTGTGAGATTTCCCAAAAGAAAATATGAAAAATTGATTCAATCTTTTTCTAAAAGAATCAATACTGTCAGTGCTTAAAGCGACGTAAACAAATAATTAGATTAGAAATGGCGACTCTGATTTATCAAACGTTTATGTCGTTCATTTTTATTTAAATACTAACTTTTTAATATCTCATTATTATTAAATGGCTTATTATACCATATATAATGTTAAATAAATTAAAGTATTTATGTGATAAACAAAAAATTATTTGGGATAAAAAAAATTATAGTCCGGGGGTTCATTGATATATAATGATAATAAAAATTTAAACGATGTCTTATCTTTATCTAAGAGTGACAAATTATTTTCTGAAAATAAATGTATATAAATATAATATAATATATGATCGTTAAATTACTTCATGAAAAGTTCTGACAAATAAATTGACATCAATTTCTGGGTTGTCTATGTTAAATATTATGGCTGCATTATATGGTCCAGTTACGTCCACCACCAACTATTATTATATATATGAAAAGAGGGGAAAATATAATTACTTTATTCCAACTTAGATTCAAATATGAAATGTAATCGTAATAATTATTTAACACACTAAACCAATATATAATTTTTCTGAAACGGTTTTAACCCTATTTTTATCTTTTATTACCATTTTTTTACTAACAATTATTAACGAGCTAGAATGTTAAACATTATTAATTTTTCATGTAACCTCCAATAAAATTTATGGGTAAAAGACTATGATCATACACAATAATATTTCATATATAATTTGGATGTGTAAATTTTTTAGTTTCTTATATTAATACTGGTATATAAAATATTATTTAACGATTATGAAGAATTAAATCATTTTACAATTTTTTATTTCCGAATTTCTTTATTTTTTTTTAAATATATTATTTTTAAAACTGTAACTAATCCTTGCCGTTATCCAACCGTAAGCCTCATATTCTATAGTAACCTGAACAGCATTTAGAGCTAGCGAACTCGCGGCGATGTATACAAAATATGATAATAATAATTTATATTAATTTTTGTATACATCGCCGCGAATTCGCACTCTTTAAAGCTCTCGTCTCGAATAAACAAAAAAATACGATAATTAAAAAATATTTTTACATAGTAATAATTTTTATTATAAAATGAATGCCAATGAGAAATCAAAATGCAAGCTTTATCATTTAAAAAAATAATAGTGGTCATTATATGACTCTACGGTTATGCGATCCGACAACTATTTTATATCTTATATGAAATCAATTTTATATGCAAAAAAGAAGCGTTTTTAGACCCCATAAAAATTTTCATGAAGTGGTTTTAAATATTGAGTGGTAAAAAAAAGGATCTTTTAAATTCCCTATTATTTATTAAATATTTATTTAGTGTAAAATCATTATATTATTTAATATTACTTTAAAAATATACATAATTTTTAACTTTACCAGATAAGGAAAGGAATGTGTTGTAAGTGGTTTAGCAAAATCTGCCCTATGAATTTCAGATAATTTTCCCCAAGAATTATATTTTAAATGTGAATTTTTTCGAATAGTAAAAAAGATTATAATAATATATAAAAAAATTCTTGGCTAAGAGAAATTACTGAAAATACTTTAATACGATTCTAACCATAATTAGGCTTTACAAAAAAAATTAAAAGGGCGCATGAAATGATTTAATTTTTATTAAAAAAAGCAATGAAACATAACTCTTAATTTTATAAACCCCGGTGACATGTGCTGTACTTTGAAAATAGTAACTA